AGCGTTCGCCTTTCGCGCGTGACGGCTCCGAGGAGGGAGGAGGCGGGGAAGGAAGGGCAGGGAGGGAGGACTGGGGGGGGGCGGAGCTTCCCGACGCCCGGGGAAGGGTTGCAGGGAGGATTCCGGATCGCGTTCCCACCCTGGGCCTGTTCATCTGGAGGGAAGGCCAGGCTGAGCAAACTGTCCTGAGCGTCCTTCTGCAACGTGGCCAGGGACAAGCATAGAAAAAGGTAGAAGTTGATGCCTAAATGCTGTGAAAATTGGAGGAATTTAGCACTTTGGGATGCTTTACCTAAACGTCTATTCCCCTCCCCAACCCGGTTTTACTTTTTGATTTTTAATTAGGCAGAAAGGAAACAGACAAAGCCCCAAAACTTTTGGGTTAGTTAAATGTCCAACCACATGTTCTTGGAATAAAATATACATTTAACTGATGTGAGATACGGGTAATAGACACAATATCAGTATCTTGCTTCTAACATTGGGTATATAAGAGCCCAAAACCTTAGAGACCACTACATTATATGTTTTACGTGTCTCACCACAATAACTGGTATCAGCTAATAAAAGCCAACAGTGTTTCAGAGGTCACTAGTTTGTGATGCTGAATTCTCAGCACAAATTGTATTTTATTACAGTTTTACTGTTATAGTTCAAAATGATAACCTATAAGATGGCAAGTTTTTTTTTCAAAATGATGATCTATAAGATGGTACGGTTTATTATTATTATTATTTTAATTCTGATGACAAATACCAGTGAGATAAAATGCTTTACCCAGGTTTGACTTAAAAGAGGAGAGTAATATATGTAAATATAAGAGACACACTATTTATCCCTGCTCATGATGATAAGCCTAGTAATAATAAATGGTTAATTTGGGTTTATCAAGGGTTTTTTCCCCAATATTTTCTGTCATTTATCTTCACAACCTATATTATGACTATTTATAAAACAGAAAACTTTGTCTTAAAATGATCAGAACACTTGCTGAGAATTACGCGGCTGGGATGTGGCAGAGCAGGATTTTGTTGAACTCAGGGCCTCTGTTACCCACCCATAGTCTCTGTATGACACTTCTCATCCTCACTTCAGAGTGGCAAGATTGGTAACTGCCAGAGGAACAAACTAAGAATCCTTCCTATTTTGCAGTGTTAGTTGTCTTTGCCTTCACCCATACTATATGGACTTTAGCAGGAAGTAGAATCTTGTTTTCAAATTCCTAGGATAAAATTAGGTGGTAAAACCACCATTTAATTTCCCTTAGGCCCATAACTTGAGAGAACTACAAAGAACCCTTGCTAGCCACTATTTACCTTAATGATTTTAAGGGACAAGTTGTGTTAGCCCAATGAGTCCTTTCCCATAGCTTAGCATGCTCCTTCCCCTTCCCATAGCTAAACATGTTCCTTTCCTAGGCAACACTAGGCCCATTTAGTAAAAGCAGTAAACAACCAGCCTTCAACCCTCCGCCCCCCCCTTTACCTTGAGATGGCACTCCTCTGGGGCAGCTACCACCATATAAGGCAGCAAGATCCCGTTAAGAGTGACCTTCAGGTCTGGGCAACTGCAAGGCCCCTTATCTACTACTACTTGGGCTGCTGCCATAAATCCTAGCCCTC